GATGATTGGATTCTTGAATATTAAAGACGAGGACTCCAAAAAGGAAATTAAAAGAAGATACCACTTACAATATCTACCAAAAAGATAAAATATTTAGAAATAAATCTAACCAGAGAAACAAAAAATTTTTTCAAAGAAAATTATTAAAATACTTCAACAAGAAACCAAAAGAAAGTTACATAAATGGGAGAATGTCCCATGGATTGAATTGAAAGACTTAATGTAGTGAAAATGTCAATGTCACCAAAAGCTCATTATAAATTCAATGCAATTCTCATCAAGGTCCCAACACAATTCTTCAATGACATGGAAAAACTAATCACCAACTTCATGTGGAAAGGAAAGAAACTAGTATAAACAAAGCACTAGTAACAAACAAAACCAAAGTAGGCCTATCCCTCCCAGAATTCAAAATCTTTTGTACACCCATGATAATCAAAACAGCTTGATTTGGCACAATGATAGATATGTAGAACGATGGATTAGAATATAGAACCCAGAAATACAACCAAGCACCTACAGACACCTGGTTTTTGATAAAGGACAAACAACACATTAAGTGGGGAAGAGGTAGCCTTTTCAATAAACGATTCTGCAGAAATTGGATCTCCACCTGAAAAAGTGGAACAGGACCCATACCTCACACCAGGTATAAAAATGAACTCAGAATGCACTGAAGATCTAAATATAAGCCCTAGAACCACAAGGATCATCAATGAAAAAATAGGGACAAACTGATGGGCCCTGATAGAAGGCATAAATACCCGACCAAGCACAATGAAAACACCTGTACCACAGAAGACAAGACAGACGCTGGGCCTTTCCTGAGTACATTTATGCACAGCAAAAGACTCCATCAAAAGAGTCAAAAAGAGAACCCACAGATTGCAGCAAATATTTGGCAATGATATATCAGATAAAGGGCTAATTTTAAAAATCTATAGAAAACTACAGCACCTTAATAAGAAAAACACAAATTACACAATAAAACATGGACAAACACATGAGTAGACATTTAACTAAACTTGACAAAAAGCAGTCAACAATCACCTGAAGAAATGCTCTTGTCCATTAGTAATAAGAGGAATGTAAATTAAAATAATGATGAGATACTACTTCACATTGGCGTTATAAGCAAAATTCAAAAAGACAGAAAATAATCAATGCTAGAAAGGATGCGGGGAGATTGAAATGCTCACACATTGCTGATGGGATCACAGAATTGCACATTCAGTATGGAAAACAGTATGGTCTTCTTTAAACATATGCAAATGCAAATACCTTATGATCCTGCAATATCTCTACTAGGCA